GTTGTCTTGGAGTCTATAAGAAAGCAGGTTGACCAAGCCATGGGAAGCAAACCAGTGAGCAGAGCCCCTCCATAAGCTCCTGCCTCCAGGATCCTGCCTTGTGACTTCCTTTGATGATGATCAGTGCTGTGAAAGTATAAGCCAAATAAACCCTTACCTTACCAAGTTGCTTTGGTCATGGTGTTCCATCACAGCAATAGTAACCTTAACTAGGATAGGATGGGAAAGGAGGAAGAGGAAAGAGGGCAGAAAATGAGAACAGGGACTACAGAAGAAGCTGAGTTTGGAAGGTTGAGCTATTTAACAACCGTTACAGACTGTCATTTAGATGCTCCTATTTTTCAGTCTGACAAAGCTCTCACTGTGCACAGAAGCTTGCACCCTTCTCTGGCCCTCCCTGACTATTTCTTCTAGTACTCTCTGAAGTCTACCAGGGAGCTAGGATAGCACACACAGAAGTGTGTGCTTCAGGCCCCCAGAGTCTAGTGGAATGGGGAGGGGCAGAAGCATAAACATATGGACAAACTATCATAGCTATTGGAAAACACCAAAATAATGAAGCGGAAGCTGTAGAGTTCCAGAACGATTCTCAGAGTAGACATTCAATGTGACACTCACAATGGGAAGGAAATCTCCAGGCAGAGCATTCTAGGTAGAATGCTTGTGTGCAAAGGCACTGGGGTCTAAACATACCAGCAGCACACACCTTACCATTGAATATGGCTAGACACAGGGTTCAGGAGAAATGGGGGTAGAAGAGGAAGCTTTGAATTTATCCACAGGGCAAGGAGAATCATCAAAGAACTAAAGCAGAGCAAGAGCATGTTTGATTTGAAAGAGAAAGACAGGGAGGGAGAGGGAGAGAGACCCTGAGCTGGTGATATGACTCAAAAAGATGCTAAGTCTCATGACCTGAGTTCAATCCCCAGGACCTAATGGTAGAAGGAGAGGAGCGACTCCTGCAAGTCCTCTGGCTTCACACACACACACACACACACACACACACACACACACACACACAGTAATTTTAAAACTTTACAGAGTCCTTTGAGGCAATGAAGAAAGCAGGCAGGAGTGGAGGAGAAACAACCATTAGGAACTGAGAAAGATCTCTACCTTGGACTTAGCCAGTCAAACAAGTGGGCTCCAAGGAATTACTTCCAAAAATACTTCAGCAGAAATGATAGCACATTTCCATTCATCCAGTGAATGCCTTTGGAAAGGCAGAAGTCAAGGGATAGCAGAGGGGAAGATAGACAGAAAAACAGACCCTTACAGATGGAAGCCACACAACAGAATCAAGCCAGTGCAGCTACCACAGACATAGATAATGGGTGGGAGATGTCTAAAGGCAAGTCTGGTATGGCCTGTAGGTTGCAATCTCTTGTTTTAAGGAGACAGGAGAGAGGAGCTGTCAACTGAGTGGGAGCAGGAGGCAAGGAGCTGTCTGGAGGCAATGATCATTATTACTTGGACTCCTGTCTCCATCCTGTTCTAAAGCAGGGTGTGACTTTAGGAGCTGTGGTCCTCCCCACTAATGACTTACATGGGAAGTGCCCAGAACACTGCCTAGCACAGAGTGTCCGATAAATACTAACTCAAACAACACACAAATGTAAAGCAGGATTCATATTCATCGGTGCCTTTTTCCATCTCGGCATGATACATGCCCTGCCCCTGAAAGCCTTCCATAGGAGGCTTTTCACAAAACTGGAACCCTGTTTATTTTAAAAGTACTAGCGTGACTACAAATATGCAAAAGCCAAGCTCCCTGCATTAAGATGAAGGTCTGCAGTGAACAAAAGAGACAGAAGTTAGGGGTCTCAGTGGTCCACCACCAGGGGAAAGATGGCCACACAGCAATGTGTTTTATGGTTCTGGCAAATCACACTCCTTGCATGATGCTATTGAGGAAGTTGCCAAAATTGTGAAAGCTTTTGTTCTTGTGTGTGGTGCTTTGAATGAGAATGTTCCCTATAAGATCATGTCTTTAAACACTTGGTCCCCAGTTGGTAGCACTGTTTGGGAAGGTTTAAGGGTGGCCCTGCTGGAGAAAGTTACTGGAGGTGGGAATTACTTTTGAGGTTTCAAAGGTTTCTCAATTGTAGTTCTCTCTCTCTCTCTCTCTCCCTCTCACACACCCTTCCCTCTCTCTGCTTTGTGTGTGTGTGTGTGTGTGTGTGTGTGTGTGTATGGTTTGAAGGTGTTATTTCTCAGCTTCCTCCTCCAGCCACCATGTCTATGCCTGCTACCATGCTGTCACCACCTTTGTGGGCTCTAACCCTCTGGAATAATAAATCAAAATAAACTCTTTCCCCCCCCCCTACAAGTTGCCTTGGTCATAGTGTTTTACCACAGTAACAGAAAGGCAACTAAAACATTGTACTTCAACTATGAGTTAACTGCTTGAGGAGAGGCTGAGGCTGAGGATGGAGACATGGTTTATGTTGATAGTACTGGGTGGGTGAGCTCATGGAAACTTACTAGAAGGATTTACTGAGATGCTACACCAGAAGAGCCATGGGAAATAAAAAGTTTTCAGGCACCCAGCGGAGCAAACTGCAGGTTTTAGGGCTATTGGAGACATGTAAACACTCAAATCCTATTTGACACATTGCCATTGCTGATGTCCATGTTGAGTGGGTGGCTGACCCTGGAACCATTCTTGTTTCTCCCCATCCCCAGCTAAAAGAAATGTAGTAGCATTTGCTGAGCACAGAGTCATACATATGACAGAAAGGGGGCTCAGATTTGACAAGTGTGAATTTGTTTCAGGCTTATTTTATTTTTTTAGAATATAAAAAATTCTTTGACAATTGTGTCTTGGACATACCCACCCCCTCTAGTAAGTGTCTCTACATGTGCTATTAGTTCATTTGAACCTGTTGAAGTTGTGTCTAGTTTATTATCCTCATCACACAAATATTAAAACAAGAAGTTCAGAGAGAAAGCCTTTAAAAATGGCTTTAAAATACCTTTGGTGCTCATGACTGCTTTATGTATAATCGAGAGGCTATATCAGAATTTCTAGGCTCAGCTTCATGTCTGGGCAAATTAATAAGGTAAAGGTAAATTGTGCTTTCCCGAAAAACAGCTCGGCCAGCTGTAATGATGAATGCCTGTAACTCCAGCATTCAGGAGGTAGAGGCAGGAGTTCCAGGCCAGCCTAGGCTAATAGTGACACTGTTTCAGAAAAATAACAGAAAACGGATGAGGAGGAAGAGGTGGGGGGGGGGGAGTAGAAGATGGAGAAGGAGGTACCACCTTTCCTGGAAGTTTAGAGAGCACTGGGTAAGTCCCAGACCCCGACACCCATTGTTTTCAGCTCCACTTCTCTCCCACGGGAGCCCCATCCTGACAGCCATCACCACAGCGTGTCTGGAGCCTGTGCTGAGATGTGCTCGAAGCACACTCCCAGGCTCCTTTGGTTCCGTACACATCATGTACTTCATGGATCTCTAAGGTTGACCGGTGCCTCGCAGGGATCTCCAGGAAGGCGCCTCCGCATGCAGCTAAGCCCAGCTCTCCGGCACTGCTGGGAACAGCCAGATTCACAGTCGTTAATTTTTAACAGTTACAGACGTCAGTTCAGAGGGATAGCAGGGTAGTTTATCGATTGACCCTCTCAAGAGAGACAACAGATACTGGACAGAATACTTGAAACCTCTTTTCAAATGCATCAATAAACCAGGACAGAATGAAAGATAAACTCCAAATCCTAAGGTCACGTGAAAGACAAGTGTTGCACCAACATCGTGCACATCGACCTTCTGTTTTCACCTCTCAAGGCAGCAAGGCTTTGTCACTGATGGGCTCTCTGGCAGGCGAACCCGCCCTCAGCACAAACCAGTGAAGCTGGGACCCAGAGGCTACAATTCAGTATAAGAGCAAATTCAAAATGAACCAGTACCCTTTCTGCCTGCCCAGAACCTGGAACCCAGCAGAAGGGTGGAGAACCTCCGTGCCGAGAACTGCCAACTAACCCTGCACCGGTGGGCGGTGATCCACAACCATAAGCCACGAATTCACGGTCCTGTGACCCTGGGCTGGCAGCACCCACCCATGCCTGACAATATCAAACAACGGGCACTTGGGTGGAGAAAGAGAATCCCTTCAGAAACACTTCCGAGGATGATGACAGTCAGCTGTCTGTCGTTGTTACAACATAAAAAGAGGTGGTGTTTATTTTGGCTCACGTTTCCGGATATATGAGGCTGTGTAGCCTCAGCCCGCTCACTTCGGAACTGTTGCGAAGAGTGCAGTACAGTGTGGTGAAGCAAAGCTGTTTACCGCATGGCAGCCTGGGAGCCAAGAAGAAAGGAGCAGGGATCTTATTCCAACCTCTAGGGCTCAACAACATCCCCAAAGCACCATCAGCCAGAGACCAAACCCTCAATACACAAGCCCCTGGGGGAATAGTTAAGATCACAACCACAATAATGAGCTTACAGTTAATAAATAAGGAAGCAAACAAACCTGAGGGGCTTGCTGACATCCAGCCTGGCTCCAGGACCAGTGAGAGACCCTTTCTCAGGGAATAAGGTGGACAGAGATGGAGCTGGACTTCCGAAGTCATCCACTGGCCACTGCACGCACACTAATTTATTTTGAATATCACACACACCAAATAATAACAATAATTTAAAATATTTCAAAACACAAGGAAACAAAACAGCACAGTAGTTCACAACCCAGCAGCTTGCATGGCAGACCTGAGAGAGTAGGTGGGAAATGGAGCTGACTTCAGTGTGTAAGGACAAGGCTGTTGTTAAACATCCCACAGTGCCCAGGAAAACCCCTCCCACTACAGATTTAACTGGTCCAAGACAGTCATGCCCAGGTTGAAAAACCCCAAGGCTACATATAATATAGATTTATTTATAACCTAGAGGAACTCATGTACATTTGTTCAAATATACACTAATGTTCAATGACTATTCTGCCCTTCAAGAAAGGGGAAAAGTTAACATAAATATCGACCAAGATAAAATAATAAGTTATCCCTCCTGGCGATGGGCTAAGAGACACCATGTTGGTGATGGTGTTCTATCAGTCAGAGGCAGAGCAGAGGTGGTCCTTTGTTCTTCCTAGCTTGGTGCCTGGCTTGGTGGCCAGAACTGTCATATGCCTAGGACTCATAAAATCAAATCAAATCAAATCCAGGTGGCACAACGCAGGAGGAGGAAGACAGAGACCTTTGAACCACCCTGCCTTCCAGTGCACGGTACAGATGGGCCATAGACACCTGCTTGCCACCACAGCATGGATGGAGGAGGTCACTCAGGGGCCCTCCAACTGCATGGCCAGCCTGCAGCAGGAGCCATCACAATGTGCAAGTATGTGGTGGACAGACAGGAGGGAAAGAGAAGTGGAGCAGCGTGAGCATTATGAAGGGAGCTAGATCTGGAGACTTGAGGGTGGAGTGAAGTAGCCTGTGTGAGTGGTGAGCCCCGGCATCTGAGGCCATGGTGAGGGTCCAAGCCTGAACTGCTGCTAAAGGCCATGTCTGAGTCCATGGCGGTGCAGCCCCAGGGGTCCACATCAAGGTCCATGGCTCATATTCCACTAGAGACCATGGGAATGTCTCTGGTCAGGAAGGCCACCAAGGACCACATGGCTGTCCATGTGTCGGCTGTGTAGAACTGACCCTGTCCCTCATTGGATGTGGCACTCTGGAGAGCCTGCCGAATCTCTCAGCCATGGCAGCACTGGGAATAGTGGGCCCTGTACCTCACCCAGGCAGCATAGTGGAGTTGAGCCTGGTGGTGGGGTTGGGGGTGAGTTGGCCCCAGGGGCATGAGTATGGGAGAGCTGACCCTGACACTCATCAGCTGTGGGGTGGCATGGGGGCAGAGGTGATGACCCCTCACCCACCCCCACTCCTCACCCCCTCCAGCAGTCAGGAAAGCTGCCCACAGGGTCATGAGCTCAGAAATGCTAGTCTTGCCCCTCACCAGTTGCAGCACTCAGGAGCGAAGGCCCTCTACCTCAGCTGTGCAGCACAGCAGAGCTGATCCTGGTAGCAGGGGGACAGTGAGCCAATCCTGAAGGTGCTATCAAGGAAGAACTGGTCTTGCCATTCTTCTGCTGTGAAGTGGTGTGGATATAGGAGCGATGGCTCCCCCCCCCCTTACTCCTCACCACCTTCAGCAGACTGGAGAGCTGGCCCCAAGGTCATGATAGCCCCTCAACAGTTGCAGCACTCGGGAGAGCAGGCCTGGCACCTGCCTGGGCACCACAGTAGTGCTGGCCCTGGCCAAGGGGTAGTGGGTGAGCCAGCCCCAAGGTCAGAGTGAGGGAGAGCTGGCCCTGCCACTTGTCTGCTGTGAGGTAGTGTGAGTGTGGGGGTGATGCCCTCCCTGTTTCACCCCTCACCACCTGCAGCAGTCAGGAAAATTAACTCTGGGGTCATGGGAGCAAGAGAGCTGGCCCTGCCCCTCATGGGAAGCAGCACTTTGGAGAGTGGGGTTTGTACCTTGACTGGTCAGCTCAGAGGGGCTGGCTCTGGAGGCTTGAGTGTAGGTGAGCCAACCCTGAGGGCATGAGCACAGGAGAACTGACCCTGCCTCCTGCCGATGGTGACACTGGGTGGTCTAGCCAGAGCTGTGCTAGAGAACTCACCTTTATGATGCAGGTAAGGGAGAGCTGGTGGGTTGACCAGCTCAGCTACCACCTAGGCCTAGATCCAGGGCTGTGAATTGGCCCAGCCCAAAATCTATATCATCTGCAAACAGCTGGGACGCATGAAAGGGCCAGTCCTGCTGATCCAAAGCTGCAAGATCTTCATGACACATAGCAGCAACAAGATAGCTCGGAGGAGAACCGATGAGCATGCAATATTGATGATGTAACAGAAGCCAGAGATAGATCTTGAACCAGACCAATGACTCATTGCAATGAACATTTACAAGTGAAGATGTTTGGACAGGGTTATACTGAGAGACACCCTGTGACATACTACAGCTTCCACAATGAGATGTTGTCTATGCTGTGTTGTTGTTGTTGTTGTTGTTTGTTTGTTTGTGTGTTTTTTATTTGGGGGGAAGTTGCAAGGGTGAAGGGTGGCTTTGAGGGGATGCGGAGATGAGCCGGATTGGGGTACATGATGTGAAATTCACAAAGAATCAATAAAAAGTTTTTTTTCATGATAAATTATAACAATCAGGTAACACAATACTTTGCAGTTAAAAAAAAAACCGATGAAACATGGGTGTAAATGTGGGTTAGCCTTTTTAAAAATAATGTTAAATAAAAGAAGCAGACCCAAAACACAGACACAATATAAGCAAACATAATTGGAACAGCTGATTGAATTACCGTCAAGGAGGAAATAAATGATTAGATGACCATTAGGGCAGTGGTTCTCAACCTGTGGGTCCCAGCCCATTTGTGAGTTGAATGACCCTTTCACAGGGGTTGCCTAAGACCACCGGAAAACACAGATATTTACATTATGATCATAACAGTAGCAAAATTGCAGTTATGAAGTAGCAGCAAAAGTAGTTTTATGGTTGGAGGTCACTACAACATGAGAAATGTATTAAAGGGATGCAGTATTAGAAAGGCTGAGGACCACTGCATTAGGGTTTCCTCTGGTGAAGAAAATTAGGGGTCAAGAGAGGAAACACCATGTAATAGGCTTTGGGGCTGTTGGCGATTATTATTATTATTATTATTATTATTATTATTATTATTATTACTCAGGTAGTGACTTGGGTATTTGCTTTATACTTAATTGTCAAGACCTAGTGTAGTGGTTCACACCTCTGATAACAGCATTTGGAAGGCAGAAACAGATGGATCTCTGTGAGTTCAAGGCCAGTGTGGTCTACATAGTGAGACTGATTAGAAGAAAGGAAGGAAGGAAAGAAGGAAGGAGAAGGAGGAGGAGGGAAGGAAGGAGGCTCCTGGAGGGATGGCTCAGGAGTTAAGGTACTCACTATTGCAGAGAGCCTGGATGACCTGGCCTCACACCTTCTGTGAGCTCCAGCTCACAGGGCATCCAGCATCTGGCTTCTGTAGGTACAAACACATATATGCAGGCAAACACTCATACACACAAAAAAAAATTAATAGACATGTTAATCAAGAAATTGTCAGGCTGACATTTATGATCTCATCCTTTTCTGATTGATGTTGCATTTTCCCAACTAAAATATTTTCATAATGAAGTAGGATAAGCTGAATTGATCATTCTTTTACTAAAAGACAAATATAAATTTCCCAGAATACAGGTCAGAAAGGCAAGGAGATAGAATAACAAAAGAAAAATAACACTGGCTTCTAGGAAACTAAAGAGTGTTACAGGGCAGAGGCAATAGGTGAAAAGTAAACGATTGGAAATTTCTCAGAACAGAAAAAGAGGTAACTAGTGATACAGTCTGCTAACCTGAGGAGCAGTGTAAATAAAAAACAGTACCTAAGATACCACAGGGATATGTCCAAGATGTCTGAAATTTTAAATATCAAGAAGAGAAGATACTAAAAGGCAGCCAGAGAGAAAAGTGCCCAAGATGCATCACTCAGATGGGAAGGTGTTTTAAAGGCCATATCACTAAGGTGATGTCATCATCATCGTGGGACCTTCACAAAGTGCCCAACATGCATCGCTCAGATGGGGATGTGCTCTAGAGGCTGCATCACTAGCGTGATGTCATTATTGTGGGACCTTCTCGGCATACTTGTATACCAACTAGATGCACAGGTCAGTCACATGACAGGGCCTCTTGATGCAACACTCACTTGAGGGTTTACTCGCAAACACAGTGAGAGAGAAGACTGTCAAACTAGAATATGAACCAATATAAAATATTCAGATCTATAGTGAGGAGCCTAGGGAGACAGATAGCTCAGCAGGTAGAGTTTGCTGCTCAAACGTGAGAACTTGAGTTCAAGGCCCAGGAATCAAAGTAAAAAAGCCAAGCATATGGCACACATCTGTAGTCATTATGCTTTAGAAGTGGAGGCAAGAGGGGGTTCCTAGGCTCACAAGCTGGCTAGCCAGCCTGCTTGGCATGCTCCGGGACGATGGAAAAATGTTGTCTGAAAAACAAAAACAAGGTAAAAAGCTCCCAAGGGAAATAACCCATGATTGTCCTCAGGCCTGTACACACACACACACACACACACACACACCACACATACACCAAAATATAAATAGAATAATAGAATACATAGTGATAAATATGTGAGGGACATGGCTAAAAGCCCAGCAAACACACAGGTAATAGGAGTATAAGAGGAGAAGACAAAATAGATGCAGGATTTGGAGATATCTAATGTTCCAAAATTGAAATCATAGGTTCAAGAATATCTGTGATGCCCTCCCACCTAAATACCTAGGTACAGTGTAGTGAGACTAAGAACCCAGATGGAGGGGGATTCTTAAGAACAGGAAGCCAGATATTGTGAGAGAGTAAGACTGTCCGGTAACTTGTCAAGAGAAAAGACATTGACAGCCTAAGAAATAAAATGGCATCTTCAAAGTGCACAACATGAACAGAACACGAGGCTGGAGAACACGGGGCTGGGGAGATGGCTCAGTAGTTAAGAAATCTTGTTCTTGCAGAAGACCCAGGTTTGGCTCATAATTGCCTGTAACTCTAGCTCCAGGGCATCTGTCTCCATGGGCATGCACAGGCACATAGTACTCATATAGGCAAACACACATAAAATACAATAAATTTTTAAAATGCTGACTACAGTAACCATAAACAGAAAAGAACAAACGGCAAACAAAATAACCTTAAAAGATTCAGTTTAACGATCTCCAAAGTAATTAACGTTTATCCCTAACAGACCAACACTTAAAGTATACTTGAGAAGAAAAGGTAACAGTCTAATATGGAAGCTGGTGGAGCAGGCTAAGACATCCAAGACCAAGAGGAATAAAATATAGTCACATCTTCACAAAGAGTGCCCGTGAAAAAGTCATGTCTTGGAAGCTGTTGCCATGGTGAGCTGGCCACGGGGCCTGTGGGTTGGTCCAGATTTCTTGTCCTTTCTCTCACCAGCGTCATACACTCCAGAGCCACTCAGAGGCTGTTTATCCTCTGTTTACTCTCTGCTCCTGGGGCAGAGAGAAGCATTTGTCCCACACAGCTCCCCCAGAGTACTGGTCCTTTAATGTTGCTGCCTGTTT